GATTCGGTAGTCTTTAAAATAAAAGGTGTATACGTTGCCACATGTCCTGATTTTGAGCAAAGAGAAAAATGGGTAGTACGAACAGTCCTTGTTTGGATGTGAGAAAAAGATAATACGGTGTGTGGTGATGTAGATTGATGTGTGTTTATTATCGAGAATGAATCCTTTGTGATCATTGACGATGTCTTCACCTGCTAAAAGTGGAAAAGTGATGCATGATTTATCGGGTTCGCACGTCGAATAATTTGCAAGGGGAGAGAGGTGGTCTCCGAGCGAATTTGTCATAAGGGAAACGCGATGCGTTGGTTGGTCAAAACATGTTGGGGACTCCAGTGGCTTCGGTGAGTCCTTAATTGCTTCGTCGGGGTGAGGCGTGTAGTCCTCATCGATACAGAACTGAAGCAAGCCATCCATCACTTTGACTTCAGGTATTATAGTTCTCATTGGTATATTTTTAGTTTGTTTTGGTTTGAAATGTTATAGTTTTATTATAATTTGAACTTAATAAGTTTATTAACAGTACCAAATTAATATATTTGTTGGTTAAATATAGTATAAACAAATATCAAATACAGTATAGTTATTTTTGAATTAACAATAGTTGAATTGTAGTTGAAAGTTAAAGATATAAAAAGAAACAAAGAAAACAATTATTAGTATAAAATTATAAAAAAATATAATATATTTACTAAGAAAATGAACAAAAAATACTTTGCCACGTTGGCAATCTAAAAGTAAAAAGTATTTAATTATAGTTAATACGAAATTGAAAAGTTAAGTAATTGAATGTTATAATTTATAGTAAAATATTAGTACAAGAAGTGAAATGAAGAGAAAAGTGAAAAATGTTATATAAAAAAGAGAGAAATGAAGGGTTGATAAAGGACAAATAAACTATCAAAAACCAAAGAGAAACTAGACATGTCGAATCCACTGAGTCTACCAAATGAGATTGAGCCAGTGACTGTGAATGTTCCAGTCACTCCTGTTGCTCCAATAGTTCCTATCCCCCCAGTGGCGAATAATAGTACAGATCCTGCTGAAGTGGCGGCTTTAGCTTCGAAGGAAGAAAAAAAGCCACGAAAGAAGAAAGAGGTGAACGAAGATGTCGAGGAGATGGCACAAGCGCTTTTTATATATTGGAAATCAAAAGAACTGTTGAGAACCAATGAGTATCAGTACGATGACGCCAATGAGAAAGCGGAAGAGTTGTGGCATGAAGAAGCCGACGAACAAACACTTGACTTGTTTAGAAAGGCAGCGGCAGTTCAAATTGTGATGCTTGGTGGTGAGTTTGTCGCGCAGAAGAAACGGAGACAAGCAAAGAGTGAGATGGATCGGAATAGAGCGGAGTGTAATCCGTTTTTGTTGTTCTGCAAAGACCACAGAGACAATGTGAGAGAGAAAGGAAGTCGTGGGAAAGGAATGACAACTCTTTCAGGAATGTGGAAGTTGTTACCCGACGAAGAGAAGGAGAAGTATGTTACAGCTGCAAAACAAAACAAGTGTAAAGAAAAACAAATAAAAACCGAGTTCGAAGGACAGAATGATTTCTCAGGTGTTTCACCGGCTGGCACCAATCCTGTCGGTAATCCACAAGGAACACATTCTCCAATAAACATTTCTCAGATTGAAACTATCCATCATGATAGTGCGTAATCGAATTGTTCTTTAGTATTAGTTACAGATTTTTTTCATGTGTGGTGTTGTAAATAATCCAACGAAAATGTTTTAAAATCTATTAAGTTTTTGTTTTACTGTTTTTCATAATAATTAGATGTTAAACAATGGATTTACTGAAAAAAATAAAAAAGGGTTTTTAAGGGTTTCCAAAATGGCGAAAAGATAAAAAACGTCCCGACCAAGCAGTCATTCAGTGTTTCAAATTGTTTGAATAGGTTGAATGAAAAGATAACTATTATAAATAGAAGAATAAAAAGAAATGTCAAAACCAAAATGATAATTTGAGAAAAAAACGACAGTATTTGATAAAATCAAAGTTACAAAACTCAACGACACAACTATAATTTTAGTTAATGAAATTAAAAAAACATAGTAAAAAAAAGATATCAATTTGAAAAGATTTAACCTTTTACAAGACTTTTAGGAAGTAAATTGGGTATTTGAACTGGAATAACCAATTGAAAGGAACAGATGGCGAGGACAAAAATTTGTTTTTATAATAATTGTAAAGAGTATCACTGACGTGCAGGGGAGAATTCAAAAAATCGAACCACGAAGCAAACAAACTATTGCCTTTAAGGCAGCAAAGAAAATGTTGGCAAAGGACTCACTAAAGAAGAGACGCGCACATCCAGGTGCCGTTGCTCTGACTGAAATCAAAATTTTGCAGAGAACAACAGATATGTTGCTTAAAAAAGCACCATTTCAACACGTTGTGAGGGAGATTGCGCAATCATATTCGACAGACCTTAGATTCCAAAGCTCGGCTTTGATGGCACTCCAGGAAGCTGCTGAGGCATACTTAGTCGGTCTTTTTGAGGATTCCAATTTGTGCGCAATTCATGCGAAGAGAGTTACCATTATGCCAAAAGATATTCAGCTCGCCAGAAGAATTCGGGGCGAGAGAACATAACTGTTTTGTCTTTGTTTGTCAATTGGGTTGTTGTAATATTTTCACATAATTATTCTTCTGTCTTTGAGTTTATAAAGTTGGATGAATAACATTCATTCAATTTTAATAGAAAAATAAGTTAGGTAAATAATCGAAATAATTCATGACCAAATGTAAATTTATCAGATTTTACAACAACATCCATAATTGGTTTAAATTAACTATAATTTAATTTAACTATTTTATTTTTTTTAATTTTTATTGGTTATTTTTGGTTATGGCTATAATTATTTATTCATCCAAATTTTCAATCATCACAGCTCCCCTTTATGAATATCTTGATATGTCTAATTGCTACTTCTCAAAAGGTTTTTGCTGGTCTTTTTATTAAATAAAAAACTCAATCCATAATTTATTCGAAACAATAGAAATAATCCACATAGAGTAAACTTTCTAATTTAATAGTTATATTGTTATATGCCGGATTATTATAAAAAACACTATCAATTTGTTTCATTATTTTTACTAATGTTTTTATTTTATAATTAATTTTAATCGTTTTTTATAATTAATTTATTGATAAAAAACAACTTAAAAAAACTGGCTTTAATTATCTTAATAATTAATTAATTTAATAATAATTTATAAATTAATACCACCACAATTATAATTTAACTAAATGTTTTTACATTGTAATGTTCAAGAAATTTTTTTTGAAGTTGGTTTACTATAATTAAATGATAATTAAACTTACAAAGTTAATTCTAATAGTAAAAATAAGCTCGTTAAATTAATACTTCTAAATCTATTTTATTCAAATTGTTTTTGGTTTACAATAAATAGCAATCGATTTTAGAAAAAAATTATTTCCATTTTTCAATCCAAAAAATCATAGAAGCGATGCTCTATTTTCTTTTCACATTTGTAGTTTTTTCTTCTTCAAAATACGCAATTTCCAACGACAGCCCGACATCTGCGTTTGAACTTGGTGTCTGTTACTTTTCAAGCACAAACACGTACATAAAATTTATCGAAACGCCTACCAATGGGTTGCAGTTTTTTAAATCAAATGATTGTTCAACACTGACTCCAACAGAAGACCAAACAATCACCAACGATTTCACATTTTCAGACACACTCCCCACTCACAACTTTGTGATGAACTCGTACGGCGCTTCAGAGAATTGTGAACTTTCTGACTTCACTGCACGCCCAACAACTTTGCTTTTCACTTCAGGGTGTAATTCCTACGACGAAGCCTCAATATCTTTGACAAAAAACGATCAGCAATTCATATACAGAACCTTCTTGGTGACTGATTGTACTGGTGATGCGAAGACTTCTCTCACTTTTGAAAAAGGAAAATGCCAAAAGGATTCATTGGGTAATTATGTTGTCATCTCTGAAATAGTCCAGCCACCTATCCCACAAAATGTTCTTTACGCGCTATTAGAAAGTGAAGGTGATACTTTGTTGTATTTAGTCGACAAATGTCACATGACAACTTCTGGAAAATTTGTCAAATTTGAAAAATACGAGAAAATTGTTTTGATTAAAAGTGGAAATTCCTGCGATTTATTAACTGAAGATCTCGACCAAACACCAATATCAAAGACTACGTTTCTTGAAGAATTTCCGTTAAATTACGTTGTTAAAAACAATTATTTAGGTGTCGACAATTGCATGCAAACAAATGTGGAGATATTCCCAGCAATACAACTCTATTCCACAAGGTGTGCGACTACAGGTTCAACTTCTTCGCGAGTACGACGCGATGGATACACTTTTGTCTTTGAGACATTTTCTTCCGTGGATTGTTCTGGCGTATCTACGACTTCGACAGTACAAAATGAAGGAATATGCACAAGTGGTGTGTTATACGCTGAAGCTGTTTTTCAAAGTGCAATTGGTGAAGACAAAAAATTTGTTTCTGTTCGAGACAACAAATACTTGTTTATCTACTTTGCTCTTGAAAAGTGTGTTTATTCGGGAAACAATGTCTACATGAAAGTTTCAAGGAAGAGCACTATTGTTGAAATATCAACTGGAAGTCTGTGCAATTCACTTTCTCGCAGTGAGTTTCAAGGCGAACTGTCAGCGTACAATTTCATCGACTCTCTTCCACCGTTCCAAGTTGCGAAAAACATTTACTATGACAAACAAGACTGTCTTTTATCAGACACAATTGCAACAACAAAATTGCTCCTCGAGCAGATGTCATGCACTTCCACCCCAATTAACTCTTATAAATATTCACTTGATGGATCAACATACACTGTGTTGCAATACACGTCCTCTGATTGCACCGGTGAAGTGAATACCACAAATATAGACAGAGGAGAATGCGTTCAACTGGTACCAAGCGGTGATTATATGACTCTCTCCCATCGGTCAGAACGAACAATTTCGTTGTTGTCCAGGTACGCACTTCAAACGACTTCGAGTGGAATTTTTGTGTATCAGATAGGGCACACGCAAGCCACGTTTGATAACGGGTATTGCAAAACCGAGTTTTTCAATCGGATTATCCTCTTTTCAAAGGGAGATGCATTGGATGAGTTGAGCGAATACACTGATGACGACTTTTATGGATCTCTCACTTTTGTGAGCGAACTTCCTGTTTTTGACTTTGTTGAGAACTATTACGGACAAATAGAAAATTGCAAATCTGAAAACTTTGTATCACAAGGCATTTTGTTGCTCACAACGGATTGCAAAAATATGGAAACTAGTTCAATGAGGTATACAAAGAGCGGAGATATTTACACAATGACCTTATACTCTGCACTTAACTGTCAAGGGACCGAAACAATCGAGAATTATAACGAGGGCGAGTGCACTCAAAAAACGGAGAATCACCGCACACTGTTTTTCACACAAGTTTCAAAGAATGTTTTACTTGGTGATGAGAAGTATGGATATACCACAATCACTCCTAAAACCGTTTTTGAGCTTGGGAAGTGTTATTATGATGGAAACAACAAGTACTTCGAATTTGCACTCAAACACAATTTAGCAGTGTACCAAACGGGGAGTTCATGTGATTTACTGGAAACATCAGATAGCACAGACACCTATCCATTGGTTGAATTTAGCAAACATTTACCGTCAATATTTTATGCTGAATTTGGGTATGGAAAAAGCGCTAATTGTACATTTAGCGATGAAGAGGGTCTTCCAAAAATAACAGTGTACGAGAGCAGTTGCACTGTAATTGGAGAGACTTCAATCAAAATTACAAAAGGTGAAGGCAGTTTCGTTGTTGAAAAGTACACAACAAATAATTGTGAAGGAGACATTAGTGAGGCAACAACTTTTCAAATAGGTAAATGCTCATTGTTGAAAGAAGATAATTACGGGAGGGTTTCCGACTCGTTTGACATTCCAAAAGAGCCAGAAAGCAGTTCAGAGACTCCAAATAACTTGGCCTGTGTGGTGTTTATGACGATGACACTTTTTACGTGTTTACTTCTTTAAATCTTTTAGTTCGTTTATTGTTTTCATAAAGAGACTTTACGAATTATTCGCACAAACAATGTTTTTAGGTTTTTTTTAAAAATGTCGAGTTGAAAAAACCTCAAATATTTGAAGGTTTTTAGATAAAAATGGTTCCATCAACCATCCCTTTTAAAATTTTTATTAGGCACCCACAATGATTAAAAATATTTGATATTTTAGTCCACTTTTTCATAAGATACAGTGGCTTGTTTTAATCATAATTCTTTGATACATTTTTTACGTGATAATCCGATTAATACGATTTGAGTGCATCAAACACTATACATTTATTATACAAATTTACAACCTTCGACTTATTTTTTATTTTCAAATTATGGGGTATAATTTTTTGTAATTACTTATATTTTTAATTATTTTATTAAAAAAAAATAAACTAAAAATACCACTCTTGTTTGAAAATGATGGATAATTTTGTTTTACAACTTTTCTTTTAATTTATAATATTTTATAATAAATAAATTTGATTTTTATATCTAAACTTTAAATATGTGAGAGAATGGAATGCATCTATTGTCATGAGACGGATTGTGGTTTCACATGTCAGTGTGGGAAAGTGTTTTGTAATGGCC